TTTTATTAGTATGGAATGTCCTTCTTTATCTCGTTTGATCAAGGTAGGTTTGAAGTCTACTTTGTCAGAGATAAGTATTGCTACTCCTGCTTGTTTTCGGGGGCCATTGGCTTGGTAAATCTCCTTCCAGCCTTTCATCCTAAGCATATGCTTATTTCTGTTGGTGAGATGAGTCTCCTGTAAGCAACAAATTGTTGGATCTTCTTTTTTAATCCATTTTGTCAAATGGTGTCTTTTGATGGGTGAATTAAGTCCATTACAAGTACATTTTCTTAATCCATTCGTCAGTAGTGGGGCATATTGGCTGTTTCCACAACTTGGCTATTGTGAATAGCACTGCAATAAACATGGGTGTGCAGATGCCTCTGCAGTAACCTGTGTCGCATTCCTTTGGGTATGTCCCCAGGAGTGGGGTTGCTGGATCATACGGCAGATCTATGTTTAGATTTTTAAGAAGTCTCCAAATTTTTTTCCAGAGTGGTTGCACCAGCTTGCATTCCCATCAGCAGTGTATGAGGGTTCCTTTTTCCCCGCATCCTCGCCAACACCTGTTGGTGGTGGTGTTTTTGATGATGGCTATTCTAACAGGGGTGAGGTAGAATCTTAGTGTGGTTTTGATTTGCATTTCCTTTATGGCTAGAGATGGTGAGCATTTTTTCATGTGTTTTTTGGCCATTTGAATTTCTTCTTTTGAAAAAGTTCTTTTAGTTCAGTTGCCCATTTCTTTATTGGTTCATTGGTTTTGGGAAAGTTTAGTTTTTTGAGCTCCCTATATATTCTGGTTACCAGTCCTTTGTCTGATATATAGCTGGCAAATATTTTCTCCCACTCTTTGGGTGCTCTCTTCAGTTTAGAGACCATTTCTTTTGTTGTGCAGAAGCTTTTTAATTTTACAAAGTTCCATTTGTCCATACTTTCTCTTAGTTGTTGAGCTGCTGGGGTTCTATTGAGGAAGTCCTTGCCTACACCTATTACTTCCAGAGTGCTTCCTGCTCTTTCCTGTGCCAACTTCACAGTTTCAGTCTGATATTAAGGTCCTTGATCCATTTTGAGTTGGTATTAGTACAGGGTGATAAACATGGATCTGGTTTCAGTTTTTTGCAGACAGATAAACACTTTTCCCAGCAACATTTGTTGAAGAGGCTGTCTTTTCTCCATTGTATATTTTTAGTGCCTTTGTCAAAAATAAGGTGGGCATAGTTGTGTGGATTCATATCCGGGTCCTCTCTTCTGTGAGGACCCGTGTCTGTTTTTGTGCCAATACCATGCTGTTTTTATTGCTATGGCTTTGTAGTATAGTTTGAGTTGGGTATTGAGATACCTCCAGCATTGCTCTTTTTGCTGAGTGTTGCCTTGGCTATTCACGGTCCTCTTGTGTTTCCAAATGAATTTTAGGGTACATTTTTCAATTTCTGTAATGAATGTCAAAAAGAATTTTTTAAAGGGCAGAAAATTCTGAAGTAAAACAGAAAAGTATCAACTGGAGGTCTGTCAGGAAGCATTTCACATTGACAGAGGATGGTACCCTCCAAAGGTTTCTGGTGGCTGCCAGGGAGATGTTGGCTACACATTTTGAACAAGGACACTAAAAACCAAAATTCAGCCTACTTCAGGGAACAAAAAGCAGTTATTTGAGAGAAAAATTCCTATTAAGAGGACAAAGAAAAGACAGGGGTGAGGAAAATGTTTAGGAGCTAGAACAGCAAGAACTATCAATAAGAGATCAGACCACCTCAACAGGAACTGCAGGTGGGGCACCCAAATCACACTGCTATGCCTGCTTTACCATTCCCAGTGCTTCTGGCTACAAGCAACAGAAAACCCACTGGCATCTTTCTCACAAGTAGCAGCCTGGAGCTTGCTCATGCTAGTTTTGGTTCAACAGCTCAGCAATGGCAGGGTTTGCATCTCTGTAGCTCACAGCCTCTTCCCCATGGTCATGACTGCTGCCTGACAGTGCAGGGAGAAAGGGGTTGGAAACTGAGGTGGGGCCAGGCAATCAATCCTCTGTCACAGTGACAAAACAACTGTGTACAACCTGGACTTTCCTGAAAGCAAAGTTCCTGGTGAAATGGATGGGTGCTGAGGGCACTGAACTGGCTACTGGCCTCCCTGGCTGTTGCACAGTCTGAAATATGTAAAGAGAACGGAAATTCTCACCTGTTAGTGTGTGGGTGAAGAGGAACAGAATAGCTATTGCAAATTAGGTATTTTTCATTTGTGTCACCCAAAAAACTACCTACAGAACTCTCTCACACAAAAAAAGGTCAGCCTTCACAAAATGGTTAGAAAACATGCCTTTGAATTACTACAAAACAACCAAATTCAAAAGACACATTTATTATACAATCCATTTACAAAGGAGCAGAGCATAAATGCAGAAAGGAACACAGGAAACAAACATCAAGCATCCATATTTGCACAGCAAGTGTGGGCAGAACTTGAAAGGAAGATTCTACTTCTGCTGTAGCACTGAAGAGTTAAATTTAAAATCTATTTTTAAGAATAAATTATCTCAGAAAGAAGTTTTAGGAAGCTCAAACCTATATGATTAAAACTATTATTATCTTAATTTAAAAAATAACAATTTTTATCCTCTTTGAAAATCTCCAACTTGCTGGAGGCCAACTAACCTAGATCATTACCAACTTTGAAAAAAATTCAAAGGCACTTAAATTAGGAAGGCACAATTGTTTTAAAACTTATTGAAGTATGTATTTGGCTTTCAATAACACTAACATACATGGGGGTGAAAATCCACAGACCAAAATCCTCAGCAGCCAGTAAACGGCTGGATCTTCCACAATCAGAGATAGGTTTTCTGAAGGGTCTTCCAGGCCTGGGTACTGGATCCCAGAACACAGGCTTCATCCACCTCACAAACAGAGGACGTGATCCTCTGAAAGGCAGAGAAAGATATGCCAGCACATTTCCGCATCTCTCCTTCCAAGGGTATATATAGTTTTTGTGTTTACCAGTTCTTCCCTTAGATCACTGTCCAAACTGAAATAAAGGAAAAAGAAATTATTCAAATGTAAAAAAAAAAAAATGGCAAGACAATAAGCAGATGACCCTTTCAGGCTTAATTCACTCAACAGCAAACAATGAAATGAGTCAGGCCCTGTGCTCAGAGCTGAGGACACAAAAGTGAACAAAGACTCTCAGCCACACAGAATGTGTGTTAATCAGTTTTGTGATACTACAATGAAATACCTAAGGTAATTAGCTTATAATGAGGAAAGGCTTGTTTTGGCTTGTGGTTCTAGAGGCTTCGGTCCAAGATCAACAGCCACATCAATTTGGGCCTCTGGCGAGAGGAGCACTAAAAGGCAGTAGGGGCATGGTGGAGCAAAAGAAGAGATAGGAAGGGCTGGGATCCCACAGTTCCCTCCAAGGGCTTGCCCCAGTAACTGAGGACCTCCCACAAGACCGCAGCACCTCCCAGTTGTATCACTCTGCAGACAAGCCTTTATACCCAGACTTTGAGGGAACCAGTACCCATATTCAAATCACAGAGGAGTGAAACCCCAGTCAACTACAACTTGAGTACCTGGGTCCAGCCCAAAACTAGGTACTATAAAATATATAAAAAGTGATGATTCTCCCTCTAAAATACCCATGGTTGAAAAAAAATGCTAAGAGGCTTTGAGCAAACAGGAAATAGCACATGACAACCAGAAACAGCCCACTGATCCACTAGCACTAGGACATAGTGCGTTCCACCTAAATTAATTTCTTAGATAACTGAGTGTTTTCAAACATCCTAGAATTTTAATAACCAAGTTCTAGCCTCTGCTCTACTCCTTACATGGATTATGGGTGCTATGAGGCTCATTTTCCTCAAATATAAAACAAGTAATATTCACCCTTTTTTTGATATTGCTGGAAAAATCAAACAAGATGAGTAAGCAAAACCAGTCACCCTAAGCTCCCTGGAAGGTTTGTTCCAGAGCTCCACAGCAAGACCAAAGGGCACAGATGTGCAAGTTCCTTACACAAAATGGTACTTGTATACAACCTCCACCCAGCCTCCTAGATATTTTAAATCATCTCTAGATTACTCATAATACCTACTACAGTGTAAATGGTCTATTGTTTAAGGAATAATGACATGAAAAAAATGCCTACATGCTCAGCACAAATGCAGTTTTCTCTAATATGTTTCTATCATGGTTGGTTGAAACCACAGACACAGAACCCACAGATCAGAGGGCCAATTTTACCTTGCGAGTTACAGAGTGCTATGCAACTGTAAGAATTAAACATTTACTTTAGACACATTTGTGTTTTCAATGGTAGTAATTGTAAAATGAACTACACACTTTTTAGCATCATAAGCAGTTAATAGAGTACAATTTTCTGAGTCAACGTAATAAGCATCAGGTACAGCCCACACACACAGTGGGAGCAGGACAACCCCCACCACTGCCTCCTGCTATATGCTTCGAGTAGCCGTGTGCATGTCAGTTTCCCAGTCTCCCCTCTGCAGGAGGTCACTCCTCAGGGCTTTCACCTGATGTTTCCCCCCACCACACTCCTCTCTTGTGCTCAAGGTTATTTATGTGTGACCTCAATTAAATTACAGGATTGAAAAACACCACCAAGATGTATCTTTTTTGAGCACTCAGTGATGTTGTCATTAAAGATAACTGTGATCCCATTTGCTTTTTTAAAACAGAGTTAATATTCTATTCAACTAAATCATCCATAGTCTTTATATCGATTGCAAAAAATTCCTGGACTATTCCTATGCAATATGGCCAAATGAATCCACTGCACAGCTTTTCTGTGGTCCTCTTGAAGTTTCAGATACCCAGTTCATACTGCAGACAGCAACATCAGCTTAGCACCTGTCTAGTACTAACCATATATACTTACACATGTGTATTTCTCAAACCAAGTGCTTTATTTTATAATAAGCTAACAGTGAAAATGAGCATGGAAAATCAACAGGAAAAATACATCAACAAGAAGTGTAATGCCATATTATCAGAGCTCACCCTTGAAGTTTCTGGACTAGAAAATGGAGAAGACTCCCAAGATCGATCTTCTTTGTCAAAGGAATCATCTTCTTGAAATGCAAATTTCTGCTTAAGCGCATGTGATATTAATGACACTGGATCCCACTGTGAACTCTGTCTTTTCCTCTTATGAATGGGTCTACCACCAGGTGACCTATTTTAAAAAATTGAGTAATTTAAACTTTTGATGAAATTTTAGCTCCTTGCTGACAAACACAGCAGGAATATAAGTACAATATAGTAAACTCTAATCAGTTTCCAAGAGATTTTTGCCTTGAAATAAGGAATGGAGGAGGCACAGAGAATTCAGAATCAGAAAAACGAGAGACCACATGGGTTGGGGCTCTACTACACCCTTGCTACAACATGGTATTCTTCAGAATCACTATGTGAAAACCTTAATTTCTAATTTTCCAGTGGGCAGAAGAATTAAAAATACTTTATAACTTTAAAAAAGACTAGAGCTCATGAAAAGAAAACCATTTGGTCATTCAATTCAGTAAGTCTTCATTATATGCCTGCTAGTGCATCATGCTACTCAGAATAGCACATAATTTAAAATTTAAGAATTCTGTTTATTTCTGGAATTTTCCATTTAATATCTTCAAACCACGGTTGACCATGGAGCCATGGAAAGCTAAACAGTGGATAAGGGGAACTACTGTATTCCTATTCTTCAACAATAGGAAGTATAATTAAAATGCCAAGAAACAGCAAAAGTAAGACAACAGGAAAAATAGTCAAAAAGAACTGAAAATTATTATCTCTGGGAAGGGTCAGCAGAGATGAAGAGGAGTAAGAAATAAAATATATGCTTCAACTTTCATGAACAGAATTTTTTTTAAAATATCATTGACAAAATTTTAGTTTCTTTCCCAAATTATGACAACATACCGTTCAACAACCCGAAGCTTAACCTTATTCATGTCCTTTAGAACATCCAGCATGTTCGGAATACCATCATTCCTCTGACTCTGTGAATGATTACAAGTGGTCTTACTAACCACTTGCTGCTCTGTCATTTCAGCTGCTGGATTATGGGAGCCACAAATATCAGTAGATCCTGGTTGTATGGGAGGAAAACACTGAGGCTGAAGAGAAGAAAACTGAGGAGGAAGAGGTGGAGGAGGAGGAGGAGAAAGCACCGATCTTGGCAACTCATCTGGTTCCACACTCAGCGGAGCAGCCCCTGGTGGGGGCGCTTGTCTCATACCGCTGGGCTCCTCATTCGTGTCAAAGGAATCTAAAAACAAAGAACTCTGTTGAAAAAACAGGCAAAATTCTCTCTAACATAATGTATAACTCCAACAAAATCAAACCCAGAACAATTTCTGTAATGCTGATAAAATAGTTATATGGTAGTCGGGAAAGAGAATCCATCCCCAGCTTAGTAACTTCTGTGAGGTCAAGGTATACTGCACATTCATGTTCAATGCAATTAGGAATGATCAGGATGCATTTTAAAGAGAAAACAAAGTGTTTTTCCAGAAATTCATACACAATCTGAATCCATTCTCCACTTTAAAAGGCTGAAGCAAAACATGATCAACAACTTGTAGTCAGAAGCACTTAAGCTGATACATCTGGTCTATGAGGCTGGAGAAATGAGCAATGGTGAGCAGAGCATTTAACTTTTTCATCACAAATCTGCTCCTGAAGAATCATGAGCTTCAGAAAAAAACGGCATTTATACACAACTGTATTAACTGCTTGTGTCTACAGTACAATCTATACAGTATTATGTGATTTACTTACATGTAAACTGTTATGAATGCATGTTGTATACACACACTATACAAATAAAATGGGTCTATATATGTATTTACACATATATGTTATATATGGTGAGTATGTGTAATTTTTTTTAGCAACCAAATTCACACACAGTCATTTACAACCAAATCTGAAGGGAAAAGTTCTTAATTCCTTAATTCATGTTTAAAGCAAGTACATTGCTAAAAACTCAGAAAAGAATCATCTAGAAAATATTATTCATTGAACTTGGTGAAGAATAGCAGCAAAAACTAAAGACTACAAATATACCTGGCCTGAGACCTACTCTGTCTTTCAGATGAAGACCAGAATCTCCAATTCTTTTCTGAAAAACTAGAAAAGCTTACTTAGAAGTCATGAAATTTCAATACAAAAATACCATCTTTGGTATATAGCTAGCTCTTCTGTAAATCAAAGCCATCCCCTCACTGTACATTTATTTCACTATTCATTTCTTCTAAATGAGCATCAGATAGGATAATTTTATACATCCAACATCCTTTTATGATATATTTAATGTTGTGCAGAGTTCCTATCCAGAATGACGCTGACTTGAATATAAGACAAGTATAATGTAACTGGAACAAAAAACGAGTACACTACCTACCAGAATTTGTTCTGTTTCTCAGTTCCTTCACTTGCACAATTGCAGCAATCTGAGAGCGAAGAAAGGCCAGCTCATCTTCAAGGGCAGCTATTTTTTTAATTGCAGCTTCACTCACAGGCAGAGAATTTTCCACTGTTTTGTTCTGTCTTACAGCAGGTGACAGTGGCTCCCAAACTAGTTGCGAAGGATGGAAAAATTCAATTTTTTCTTCTTCATTTCTCCATACGTCATTTCTGTGGGTAGAAGGAAGAAACAGAGAGAGAGAAATTTTCAACCAAAAGAAAAATAAGCTCTTTCATGAAGAGCAAAAGAGAACAAGACAGAGGCTAGGATATAGCTTAGCAGTAGAGTACTTCCCTACCATATGCAGGAACTTGATCTCTAACATCATACAAAATAAATACGGGATCCAAGCGTGGTGGTATACACCTGTAACCTCAGTTACTTGGGAAGTGGAAGCAGGACTGAAAGATCAAGGCTAGGCCAGGCAAAGTCAGGGAGCCCTATCTCAAAAACAAACTAAAGGGGCTAGAAGCTAGAATCTATTGGTAGAGTGCCTGCCTAGCAAATGCAAGGCCATGAGTTCAAAACTCAGTACTGCCAAAAAAGAAATCCCTAAACTAAAAGGAAAAGGGCTGAGTGCATAGCTCAAGTGGTAGAGCACTAGCAAGAGTGAAGCCCTGGGTTTAAGTCCCAGTTCTGCAAAAAGAAATGTGTATGAAGTAGTAAAGAGACTTAGATTCAGGATTATGTTAGGGGTAAGTTTATGTTATTCTAACTTTTTGAAAATTGATAAACCAGTCTGACATAAGTCTAGCCAGAATCTTTGAATAACTGACACTCATCGTGCTTACAGCCTATGTTTCAATACACTAATATGTAAGTTAGTACACCACAGGGGTAATACATCCAGTTGTGAAAACAGTCCTCCCTCAGTATCTATAGCGGATTGGTTCCAGGACCCCTGCAGACACCAAACCCAGGGATGCTCACGGTCCTTACATAAAATTTGTGCCATATTCGCATCTAAGCTACGCCCATTCTCCTCTCTAGACTGCTCAGGGTACCTAATCCAATGCCTAACATCATTTGTTCTCATGTACTCAGTGTAGTACTTGGAGCACTGCAACTTCAGTTTTTGCTTTTGGAAACTTTCTGGAATTTTTAAAAAATAATTTTGATACACGGCTGTTCGAATCCACAGATGTGAACCCACAGCCACAGGGCCGAGTGGCATAACTCTAGCATTTCTATTGTTGCTAATACAGAAAACAGAACAGACTTCATGACTCTGATACAACTTTAATAATCAGTCCCTCCTAGGCCTGGTGTTAGATTTAAATGTGCATTGCGAAAAACTGGCTAAAAACAGGAAGCCTCAGTCATTCCTATTAGGAAGGTGTTAATAGGACACAGCACGCCAGAGACAGTGAGAACCAGAAAGCTCCATCAGTGTACCCAAGCTTCAGCACATACAAGAATTTGGGTTATGGATCTACCCATTTCCCAAGGTAGGCAGAGGAAATTACCGACATCTCAGGTAACAGGCTTCTTCGTCATTCACCACATACAAAACATCAGCAAAAGATGGAGCCACAGGTCTACAGTTACCAGACTCTGCAGAGTTCAAGAGCGGGATCAACTAAAGTAAAAATGAAAAAAGTCAGCGCTCTTAAGGGAATCAGGAGAACACGCAAGCCCCACACCCCAGGGAATTAAGTAACGATCCAAATGAGGGAAAAGGAAAAAAGGGAACTTCAATAGGAAAACATGCACCTGTCAGCCAGAGAAAGTCCTGGAGAAGTTTCTCTATAGTCTAAGCTTCTAGCAATGTTGTCTCCCCTCTCATCTACCACAAACCATCAAGATAAGCTAAACTAAGATGGGAAAATAAGATGAAAAGCCCCTCAGGTGTTCCTGCACCTGACCATCTTTGAATGTAATTATTTAAAGAAACAAAAAAAAATTGTGTAAAATGACTTGTTTCCACCAGAAAAATAGTTTTATTGAATTTCAGAAAACATTTCTTCCTTTGCACTTCCATTCTATATCCCTAGCACTACTTTACACACAGAGCTTAAACAATGCCTGGTAACTGACTTACCTCAAAATTAGGTCTTCGACAAGGTTCTAAAGGAAGAATTTTCCCAATAATACGAACAATACTCCGAGCTGATCCATAGTATTTATTTTCCCAAATCAGCAAAACCTATTTAAAAATAAAGCTTTAATTAGAATATAACTGAAGCCAGGTTCTGGTGGCTCACACATAATCCTAGCTACTTGAGAGGCAGAGATTAGGAGTGGTGCAGTGAGGCCCTGAGTTCAAAGTCCAGCAGTACTGCCAAAAAATAAAATAAATAAATAAAAATATAACTGATTAAGCATGTCTATATATTTAAGAAAAAAAAATGTAAAAGATGTATTCACATTTTCTAAAATGAAAATACAGAAATGCATAGTCTGGTTTGTTTTTTTTTTCTTTTTTGGTGGAACTGGAGTTTGAACTTAGGGCTTCAAGCTTGCAAAGCAGGCATGCTCCCACTTGTGCCATACCACCAGTCCATTTTCCTATGGTTATTTTGGAGACGGGGTCTCGCATACTATTTGTTCAGACTGGCACCAAATGGTGATCCTCCCAATCTCAGCCTTACAAGTACCTTCCAAGGCGTGAGCCTCTGGCGCCCAGCGAGAATGGCATACTCTGAAAGTGTCTTCCTCAAAGAATTAAACTTTAGGAGGTCATAGTGGCTCAAGCTTGCAATTCTAGCTACTTGGGAAGCAGAAATCAGGAGAATCAAGACTTGATACCAGCCCTGGCAAAGAGTTTGAGAGACCCCATCTTAACCAATGGCTCGGTATAGTGGTACACACCTGTTATTTCAGCTATACAGGGAAGCACAAATTGGGGGATCTTGGCTCAGGCAGGCCCAGCCATAAAGGAAGACCCTATCTCAAAATAACCAGTGCAAAAAGTAGTAGAGCATCTACCCTGCAAGCAGTAAGCTCTGAGTTCAAATCCCAATTCCACCAAAAATAAAAAATATGAAAGTGGAAAGATATACATTCCAGGAAGATCTTTCAAGAAAGTACCACAATTCAAACCAAGTGTGACAGTGCACATCTATAATCCCAGCACTAGGGAGGTTGAATCAGGAGGATCAAAAGTTCAAGACAATCCTGAGATAAATACGGAGACCCTGTCTCAAAATAAGAAAGAAAAGAAAGTGCCACAATTTGTTTTGCTCTATTTCTAATAATGTCCAAACACCCTAGAAGAACTTTGTTCAGAAAAACTACCTTCCTTCCCCACTATTAAAAATCTACTTTCTGGCCCAAATCAAAAACTAGTAATTACTGGGTATGGTGCTACACGCCTGTAATCCTAGAACGCAAAGGGACTGAGGCAGGAGGACTGCAAGTTCAATGCCAGCCTTGCTACAAAGCAAGATCTTGTCTC